TATTTCAAAAGGGAGTGAAACAAAGGGAGAGCCTTGCTCTGGCTCTTCTGTAGTCCTTATAGGATAATTTATGGCAAAAGCACCCAACATCTAAAGCAGGCAAGTGAGTTCTAAATGGTAATGATGTTTCTCTGCACAGTGAAAATGGCTCACATTCATCTCCAGCAGTACCCTTTGGGGAAACATGAATTGGACCACACTGGGAATATCTGAAAAGAGAAACACATTAACTAAATGCACAAAAGGCTTCATATTTGGGGAAAGTAACTAATTAAAGACTAAAACAAATAAACAGGTAACATCAAAAGTAAAGGAAAAGAAACATGGAATTGGCTATGAAAGTGAAAAAAATACCACAGAGGTGCAAAAACCAGGAGTCAGATGCTAAATAGAAGAGTGACCACTACAAATGTTGTCTGGATATAATGAAAATTATACAACAAACATTTTTGCTGGCACTGGGGATCAAACCCAGGGCCTCACATACACTAGGAAAATGCTCAACTGCCAGGCTACACACATCCCCAGCCCCAGCAGGATATTTAACCCTTGACTTTATGTAGAAGATTTGGAAAAGCTTGGAGGGGATGTGCTGAAACCCAAACACCCTTCCGGAGTTAGTCCCTGCAGCCTCCAGGCTTAAGACCCACAAGAACCTTCTCCTGCTTTATCTTCTCACGCTTTCTTCCTTAAATGCCATGAAAAATGGGGAGAAGGTGAGAAGTACACTCATGAAGGCCACGGGGAACTAGCACCTGGGTAAGTTTTTACGTCAGTTAAATCCATATTATCTGAACAAAGGACAGAGAAGTTCAGTGGAAGCCGGATTTCTCTGGAGCACAAGTGGACGAAACCACGAGTGTGTCCTTTGTGGCCTGCGCTGGCAGTGGGTGGCTCGCGCAGCAGGGGGTGCAGGCGCGGCCTCTCCAGTCTGGCACGCCCGCAGCATCTGCCCTGACCTCACCAGTGTCCGCGCTCCTCACCCGGGCACGGTCCTCCCAGAGCCGACTGGGAGAGCAGCAATGGAAATAGCTGCTGTGGGTGGCACTCATTAGTGGAAGTGAGCTTCAGTGTCTACTGCAGGTGGGCCGGGGAGATAGCCTGGCGGACTAAGTGCCTGCCTGCCAAGTGCAAGGACCTGGGTTCAATCCATGGGGCCGGGAAACCAAGCATGATGGTGCACGCCTGTAATCCCAGCGTGGGGGAGGCTGAGGCAGGAGGATCACTATGAGTTGGGGCTGCGTAGCGAGACCCTGTACCAAGTGAAAAGATTAAAAAGAAAACAGTTAAAAAACAGTGTCTACCTCAGGTGACATGGAACCCTAGGGAGGAAATGTTCACTGATGAAGGTCAGCGGAGAACAAACGATGGTTTTTCCTATGTGAGAAACCCCAAATAAAGAGCGACATAAGAGGCAGATGGTGGGAGACAGGCAGACCCCCTTGTGGAGCGGAAGGAATCTGAGGAAAGGTGCAGGTGGGTGGAGCAGGGGAGGCGCCCTGGGGATGCTAGACAGGCCTGGAGCAGCTGCCAGCTCGAATGTCACCACATTTGCACAGGTACACCAACTGAGGAAAGAGAAACGGCTGATCTATGCGCGCAGTGCAAGAAGAAACCCCGTGCGGTGGGGCCGGCAGAGAGCAGGAAACCAGACAGCACTGGGTGGGAAACGAGAGGCCGGAGAAGAGGGCAGAGGAGATCCTGAAGCTTTGAGTTTGGGGTGCTTAAAAGAAATTGAGATGCGTTTTCTTTGAGACTGCACAAAGCATTTGTTTAAAGCATGGAATGAAAATTTGATTGCAGGGGCCGGGGAGATAGCTCAGTAGAGTAAGCAAGGCCTTGAGTTCAATCCCCGGTTCTACCAAAAAACAAAAAACAAAAAACAAAAAAAAACCCCAAAAACCCACAAACAACAACAACAACAAAACCTTTGATTGCAAAACATATCAACTGTAATAAAAGTAGTTATTAAATGTAACTGATTTAGAACTCCTGGTTTACTTTACCATTTACAGTTCTACTGTAAAATAGAAAAATCTCAATTTAACTTGGAAAATGGCATTGATTTTTGTTTCAGTGGTCACATGCTCCTCATAACAGTTTCAGTAACACAGTATGCTCCGTTTTTCTCGCACAGAGGTATTGACAGCTAGTAATTACCTATCCACCCCCAGCTAACACAGGCAGTTTGCATTTATTTAGCAATACAAGTAAAAAGAGATGCAAAGAGAATGTGCCTGTTTAATAAATCTTTGATCTCAAAAATGTATGGAATTTCTGAACACATGGACTGTCTTTGGAAATGGCCTAGATCAAATGCAGCAAAATTTTCTTTGAACACTCATAGTTAGAACTGAGGGCAAGATAGACACGGGATGCTAGCTGCCCAGAGCCTGAGGCTCAGAGCACAAGTGAATGAAAGGATCACTATCAATCCTCTGGCTGGATAATTGGCCCCTCCGCAGACAGGCTTTCCTCCACATTCCTCTTATGGAAGAACAAAATTGTTTTATGTTGAAAATGAAACCCTTACAAGGGTTCCCCTATTTACATGGAGACTCACACCCATGTAGGTAAACATCAGCTGCCTTCGAATATACGGTAAGGCGTTTGGGTTAATCTTTTGGTTGCTTGTTTTTCAATTTAATCACTGACATTTATGCTTTTCCTGCAAGCAGCAACTAAGGCACACATAGCAGGTTTATGAAGCAAGTTCAGCATTTTCTACAACTGGCTTCGGCAGATGTGCTCCATGAGCTCTGAAATCTTACTCTTAGGGCTTCAGGAGAACCTGGCCGGAGGGGTCTGCTTGCTCAAGGCCTGTGATCCTGGAGCCCGCCGCTTTCCATGTGACTCACCCTTTTCATTTCATGAAAGAATGCTATGCCGACAGTGTCTACAGTCTTATATTTGAATACAGCAATATACAGAAGCTCAAGAAGAAATAAATTCTGATAAATAGCACAATCTTGCCTTTTGTTCTCATTACTGATAAGCACTGATACCAAAGAACAATCACTGTACCTTTATGCTCAATATTGTAGCTTGGTACCATAATGTATGCCTACTGTTAATGCATGCCTACCTGCTATTTTGTCTACTGTGTGGGCTGCCATGGTATTCCCAGGTACAATCACCTGTTATAAAATCACTCCCTCTCTGAATTACAAATCAGAGACTCAAAGCTAGCACAGTGCAGAAAAAGTACTTTATAAATTTTCTTGAGCTAAGAGCATAAATTTCATTCCTTTCATCATTTGAATTTTTTACAAGAAATATTTGATAATTAAATCCACTATTCTGGTAAATATATTTATTTATTTTAAAATTACTTTTTAAAGAGAATAATAGAAAAAAACCATTAGCAACAATACAGAATTTTGCTAAAGAAAGTGGTAGATATTTAACAATGGTTGTTGTATTGCATATAGTTGTCTTCAAATTAGTTGTTCAGATCACCAGACATAAGCCTGCAGAATTGGTAAAAAAGTCACAAAAAATTAAAAAGGAGAAACAAAAATTCAAGCATGAAGTGCTCCTTTCAAAAGATCTGCAGCAATCAGCAGCATGGTTATCCAACTGTCCTGTACTTATACAAAGACGTATCTTTTTCCACGCCTTCTTTCTTTCTTTTGTCCTTTCCTTCAGCCCAGTTGTTCCTTCCTGTTGGACAGATTTTTTCCCTTTCACAATATCTATCTTTTGGATTTTATTTGCTCTTTCAAGTTCTTACACCAGTGAGACAAAAGACGCAGTGTTTACAGGTGTGGTTTGATTTATTTCACTTACGAGTATGGTCTCTAGTTTCATCCATGGTAAATACACTTAAATCAATGAAAAAGAACAAGAGATGTCCGAAGCTAGATGCAGTCAGGCCCTTACCTATGAGAGTGTGAAAGACAGCCGCGATGGCTCCGGCCACCACCATGCACAGGACAGCTTTGGTCCTGTCTCGCTTGCTGTTCACGAACACCAGGCCCACGTTTTTGAAGTCACTCATGGGACCCGTGAAGAACTTCATCAGTGAATACGCCAGCCCGTAGCTGGCCAGCATCTCCACTGCATCCTCCTTGACGGCAGCGATGCCCCGGTTCAAGGCCTGCGGGGGGAAGAACCCGTAATAGCATGAGGAACGGCACCCCATCGCGGGCTATCAGGCCTCTAAAATAAAACTCAGTGATGACATTTCTGTACAAACTCTAAGCAGGGCAGAGGGCAAATCATACTATAATTTGATAGAAGTTATTGGTTTTCATTTTCATCCGTATTACCTTCAATTTGAGAATTTTTTCATTAGGGGGTTTACCTGACCATTATAGATAAAGTAGAAGCAAAAAACCCCAAATATTTTACATTAATATCAGAAAACAATTCCAAAGAGTTTCGCTTAAAAGCTGACTTTTTGAAAAACTGAGTATGTTAAATATTATTTGTAAATCTATGTAATAGCAACAGACATTCTCGAAGTGAACCAACCAGTTTATATGGAGTGGGTGATGATTTAAAAAAAAATTTTTTTTTTTGGTGGTACCGGGGATTGAACTCAGGCCCCCGCGCTTGCCAGGGAAACGGTTATTCCACTGAGCCATCTCCCCGGCCCCCATGATTTTCTGGAAGTAGGCACATTGATGTGTGTGTCTGTGTGCTTGGGTAACCCTAAACACCGCGTACGCATGCTCCGTGGCAGAGCCCCGTGCTGCTTACAAGTCACTGTACTGTCCGTGCGACCACACTGCAGTTCCGTGAAGCACGCTCCTGCACTCCGTGCACACGAATGCACGCTGTGTCGCGGTACAATGCTCCTTGAGGAAGATGTGGCCGTACAGGGCACAGCTCCGCTCCGCTTCAGAGGAGACCTCCTGAGCTATCAGGTTACAAAGCGCTTGTCCCATCTAGCAGACAAACAGCACTGGAGATGCTAAGGATGGGTATCCAGGTGGGGAGAACCCCACGCCTACAACATCTTCAGAACACTGCCCCTGTCTTTAGGGACAAGCTAATGAGCAGAGAAGCTGGCTTTCAGGATACTGTATACTTTTAAAAATGGAGTATTTTAAGAACAGTTTGAATAAAATGGAATGGGAATTACAGAGTTCTCATGTGCCCTCTGCTGCCACACTCGGATCCTGACCAGCGGCACCCCACAGTGGAGGGGCCCATCTGTCACAAAGGACCCACTTACTGCAGCGCCTCACTATTCTGAATCTAGTTTCGGTAGGCTTCCTCGTGGTGGGGGTGCACGTTCCACGGGTGTGAAAAATACAGCCCCGTCACAGCCTTCTACATAGTCATAGTTTTTAAAGAAGTGCTGCACTGAGGTCTTTATCACTTTTTACTCTTCCAATTGCGTCCTGGTAACATTCCTAAGACTGGTATCAGTCTCTGTGACACAGACTTGAAGCAGAAGAAATGAAAAGAGAGGCACCTGTTCAGGTTGCCCTCGACTTTGAAGCAGCCCGTGGCCCACAATCCTCCCCGCAAACACCCCTCCAGCTCAGTACCACTGAGCACTACCTGACTTCACACACCGAAGCTTCTTTACCTGACACCTAAGGAACAAATCGGCACTTGAAAGAGACAAGGCTGAACACAATAATCGAACCCAAGCTTCAAGTGTAATACGTATATACTACATCCTAACAAAACAAACCCAATCTACTGTCTCACTGACTGTATGAAAGCATCAAATATAAGGTACATCACTGGTTTTATACCATTAAGGAAAAAAATATACCGAATTATAATTGGATGCCAATTGCTTGTAAGACAGATCCAGATGGAAGAGGGGTGTGTGTGTGTGTGTGTGTGTGTGTGTGTGTGTGTGTGTTGGAGTGTGCCTCAGAATCTATGAAAGGAGGTATTTCATGGTACACTGAAAGTTACTCCTCAGATTCAGAGGCCGACGTGGGTTTTGGCTTCTAACACAATACTGTCCACATGCCCGGCACCGATCGAGCTAATCAGCAAAACGCAGCCTTTACATTCTTTGCCTGTACTTTGTTTCATCCCCTTTCCTAGGAAATACAGCTGCCTGGTACAATGAGCACTCACAGAATTGAAAATTCTTTGCAAAGCACTGTTAGAGGGGAAAATTGCTTAAAGGAAAACATCACTGTGCAAAACTGGCTGTACAAAGTGTACAATAGCTGGGCATTTACTGCTATTCTGACAAAGTTGGCATTAACGTGGGCTCCTTTCTGGCCACTCTCTCCAGTTACATGTCGAGTCTTTTTTTGCTTTTTTCACTCATAACTTTAAACTTTCCACAAGAGCTTTCTCAGCCTCTGCAGAGTGCCCCTGCCAAGACACTTCTCTTGGAAACACATTTTCTCTTGTACTGGTGCTAATCAAATACCTGAACACTCCAAAGCAAAACTAAAAAAAACCAAGAAACATCCTGATTAAAAAAAAAAATCCTGTGTTTGGTATCTACAAAAGGCAGCCAGGGGGTTCTGTGGCTGTGTCAAAACTTAATATGTGATCATCAACCAAAATTAATTCCTTTCAGGGAGGTAGTTGGTGCCTCACCCAGAGCCCCAAGACCAGACGGTGCACCCTGCCTGGCTGCTGGGAGGTGTCCTCCTCAGAGCGAAGTCCCCAGCCATCTATGCGGGTTAGATACACCTGACTCCTCCCTGGTCCCTAAGTGGTGGGAAGCCAACGGCTGCCTGGCACAGGGCAGAAAGGATGCGGTCCACGCCTGCACACGGCCATGGTGGTACCACTCCTGCTCAGGCGTTCCCAGGCCCAGGGGAAGCAGACTCCAGCAGAGGCCAACCCTCGCCGACTACCTCCCTGGGGGTGGGGGACTCCATCTGCTGCCCAGCCCTCCGGCTCCTTAAGCCCCAAGGCGCGCGAATCCACACGCAGGCTTTGTCCGAGCACTCGAGGGAGGGCAGCTTCCCACCAGTCCTCGCCTCGGCACCAAGCGCCTGCAATGCTTGCTCGTTTCCTTTCCATCTTTCTCCAAAGGTATGACTGTGAACTGTTTACTTCTTTTTAGCCCTCAAAAACACGTTAAAATTTAAACAGTATATATTATTTAGCACAAGTTTCAAAAGCACCTGCCAGCACACCTAAATAATGCAGGGTCAGGTTGTCTCTGTGTCTTCTTGGCAAAACTTTATAGTCTTGCTAAAAAGATACCGGCCCTGGCTGGGGAACCTGTGGCAATGTTCTCCATTTCCTGGATTTGAGTCTGAAATCGGGCTGAGACAGGTGGGAAGAGGAAGGGCGCAGCTAATGACAGCTCTGTCTGCAGGACTCGGCGAGATTTCCTTTGGCTCAACAATTACGGTAATCTGGGCACAGAGCACAGGGTTCAGAGGCATCAGGCCTGAGTGGAAGCGGCTTCCATCTCTCAACTGCCCAGCAGGCCTCGGTGCCCCCTACGCAACCCAGGTGGTCCCGGTGGGATACGGCAGGTGCTCAGAAAGGCACCTGGAAGCAGGGACTTGCATCTTCGTGCACCACCGTACCTGCCACCCCTGTAAGACTGTGACTCTTTGCTGCATGAGCACACGAGTTAGCTATCTGTTACCAAGAACTCTACTATGTTTCCTAATTTTTAGACTTAAAAAAGCTTTTAATTATGAGGTGTTATTGCTTGTAAGATGCACTGCCAGTTTGTTTTAATGACACTAAATATACACATTATTTGAAAAAAATCTATCCTGATTTCAAGACACATTTGAATGTAAGAACAAAAGCTAGAATTCTGGGTGCTTTAATGGTATTAGCCTTTATCATCCTCATGTGCAGCAAGGATTTCCCCCAACTGGTCCTTGTCTTAGTTTCATGATCTTTTTATACCGTAAATATTACATTATTATAGTCTATTGCTCACTTAGGGTTTTGTTCCCACACCTTTAGGCTTTGCCACTCTCACCCCTTCCATATCTAGGATAATTTTGCTCTAGTTTATGGCTTCATTTGCACACTTATCTTTTTAATCTTACTGGAACTTATGATCTGAGACCAGGACCAAAATTAATGTCCTCCAAATAGTTTGTTTTGAAACTACATAATGTACAAACCACCCACTGCCCACTGATCTGGGACAGTCTCTTCCGGGTCTGCCATTCTGCACATGCCCATGGGTGACCTGCTGCAAGCGCCATCTGCCTGTACTTGCTCACCCTAGTTTTCCTCAAAGTGTGGTCACTGCCTGTCACACCACACAGGTACTTCTTGTTCAGCGCCCACCTCCTCTACCTGAATGCTAAGCCCCGGGGAGCAGAGAGCTGCGCATCAGTGCTACATGCCAGACCTAAGCGTGGGAGATGACAAATGAAAGGATGCTACAGAAGTGCACACAGGAGCCTGATACCTCTTGGAGGAGCTTATTTAGGCAGACAAAGCAATGTCACTGCTCTACAGAAGTGACACCAGAGCTCTGAGACCCGAGAACAAGGAGCAGCTGGTTGGATGAGGAGCGGGAGGAAGTCAGAGTCCTGTAGAAGGCTGTGGAGCTCAAGGAAAGCAGGAGTCAGGAAAAAATGGGCACGAGGGAGAGCGTGAGAAGGCACGTTGGAAAGGCAGGCAATCCTAGCAGCTTTCCAGGCGGGGGAAGAACGTGTCTTCTTCCATGACCAGCTGGAGCTCTTGAATGGTCCTGGCCAGAGGTGGGACAGAGCCTCACGGCAGGCACAACGGTGATGCTGGTCTGGAGAGCGAGGGGAGAAGCAGGAAGCAACAGCTCTACGGCGCCAGGCCCCAAGATGCAAGCCTGTTACACAAGCACTCCGCGACATGCTGCGAGAAGACTGCAAGTTCGAGCCCCGTCTATGCAACTTAGGAGACCCTGTCTCTAGGCTGTAGTTTGGTGTGAAGGTCCTGGGCTCAGTCCAAAGCAGAGCTCTGTGGGAATCCAGGCCAGAGATGGTGGTGACCTGGACCAGGGTGAGGTGGAGCAGAAGGCAACAGATGGACTGGACAGCATTTCAGAAGCAATTGTGGAGTCTAGGAAAACACTACCTGGTGGGCTGGAGGAGAAGGAAGAACTGGATGGTGCCTGCAGAGTCACTCACAACAGGAATGGAAAGTGCGGAGAAAGGTCGCCCCAGAGCCCGAGCAGGAGCTTGACAGTGGGCTGGAGAC